ATGTACCCAAAAGGCACAAGTCCACATAATTGACTAATGCTCTACAAAAGCTGTATTTAAACAATTGTAATTTTGTAGTTCTTGTTAAATGCTGGAAAACTATCTTCCAGTTATTTGTATACCTAGAGCTTAAAAAGTATCCAGTATTTTTAAAAATAATATGAATATTAGAAAACCTCCAAAAACACCAATCACTTCTTTGGTTTCAGCCCAGCCAGAATTCCTAGAGAATAACTAAAATAGTGCTTGACAATGAAAATGAAAATACAACCCTAATAATAAGAATATGACTATAGGGCCTGATTCTGTTTAGACCACAGATAGTCCCATTTACTTTAATTACTTTGCCCTTATGGATCCTGTTGCAAAGCCCATTGAAGTCAATTAAAAGACCTCAGTTGCTGTCAATGGTCTTTGGATCAGATTCTTCTAGAGCTTTCTTAGCTTCAAATCTCAAAGTATCATTATCCTTGCTTTGCAGATGTGATAACTGAGGCCCAGAGATGTTAACTGTGAAAGGATCCAGAGCAATGGATGGTCACTTGTTACAAAACAAAATTAAGTGACTTGCCCAAGGTTACACAACAGATCAGTGGCATTGTCAAAAAACGAACCCAGGTATGCTAACTCCCAACCCCAAGCTCATCCCAGTAAACCTTCTAACCAGAGAGTGTAGAAATGGAGCTGCTATACTAAAGAGAACCAAGAGGGCTTCCCCAGAGGAGATATTTGAAAATTCAGTATCACAAATTGCCTTGGAAAAGAGAAATATATAATAAAAGGTGCCTTGATTTATCTTTATTTAGATACAGGGCATTTTTCTAAATATCAGATTTTTTTTTCACTATGTTTTTATTTTCTTAAGATCATTTTAGAAAACAAAACCCCATAGTCTTGGCAGTCACTAGTGAATCACTTCTGAATTCTTACAGGAATGTAATATATTGCCAATGTTTCCAGATGCAGTTCAGTAAAAAGCTTTTCGTCAGGATTAGATTATTTACCAAACAATCATTAACAATGATTCTGGGACCGATCAGACAAACCCTTACGTAAGTCCCAATGGGACTACATGGATGAGTAAGATTGAGCCACACGACTAAAGGTTTGATGGACCGGGCCTTTATGTTTCAATACATATAAAATATGATTATTTCCATGTCTACTGGTACCTAGCAAGTTTGATTAAGTTAGTTCTGAAATACAGTTAACAGCTACTGTACCTGTAGAATGTGTTGACTACTTCAGCATTAAAATGTGCCATATCATTTAAATTTATATTTGGGCTTCTTTAAAATGCCTTTTTCTTGGATAATACCATGTGTTTATAGGGACTATTCATTCAGAAAAATAGCTAAATAAATAAAATATTTCTAAATTCCATACAGAAAATTTATATCAGTATAAATGTCGAGTGACAAAACAGAACAAGACTGCCATGTACATAAGAACATCAATTTCCTGAGGTAGGCTAAATGATATACTCCTTTTTTCATTTTGTCCTATTTATGTTTCAGATGTGCTGAATCATTTATGTAAAGACAGATTGACAGACATCCTAATTTTGTTACAATAGTACCTTGAATTAAAAAAAAATGATTAAAGACCAATGTAATTAATTTATTTACATATTTTTGAACAAGAGGCCTGTGCTGCCTGTTCTGTTTACAATGGCTTGTGCTTTGTGAATACATATCAAATGTTGTAATATATTTTTATTATCTAGAGTTAATTGTTAATACAGAAAAATATATATGTATATTGTGATTTTGTTACTCTGTTATAAAATGTGATTCTATTATTAAATGAACTTGTGTGAGCAATTTTTTATATAAAAGTTTACATTTAAAAAAATCTGCCTCTTGCTTATTGGAAAGATGGAGATTGTTTATTTTCATGTGATTGCAATGACAAAAAATGATCTCATTTTATTAACAGGTAGCTGGTACCTAGTACACTGTGATAAGGATATACTTTTTCATCCATTATGAGCACCACAGGTGTAGGAATCAAATCCTCAATCCTACAGTGACTTCACAGTTGGTTCCCACCATGTTACAGTTGAGGAGCTAAGCTGTACCTGTGATCTCAGTCTATCTTTGGCCACTTGCAAGTAACAGGCCTATACCTGAAACTGTCTCAG